GGACGTTAAACCCCATTTTATTTCATGTCTAAGTGTAGGATTCGTGGAACTATTTGAATAGAATTTGTTTGAAATAATCACAGAATTACGGTATAACTATCTATTGCTAGATGGCCCGTGTTGTATGTATAACGCCAAAGTTGTAGATTATCGCGCGTGTATGACATTCATGGGTGTATGTGACAACTAACAAGGATACACGGGACACAATTACTGAGCGACCTAGTTGAAACATCTCTCGGTAATAAGCAGTAAATGTATTCCATAGAATTGTGATTTGTATATTCCACTTCAATTTATAAATCGTACGTAACTAACATTCGAAAAATAAATGGTAGCTAGCTTGTTTTCTCTCTTGTTCATAAATGTCATTGAAACAATTAAAATGACAAGGAGTTGGCTGCGTTTCTCTTAAGTAGGAGTGTAGTCTATAAAATAGTTACAATGTGGCGGGAATTTATTGACGAGCAGTAAAACAGCCGTTTCATTAACTAAGAATTTGTACTAAGATTGTAACCCAAATATAACGGCCACATTCTTACAATATTTTAATTAAATACTTAGTGCTTGCCTCATTTATATCTAACCCTAACCCTAGGTCAGCGCTTTTGTGAAGACTTAATGTCTCTCCCCCAAGTTCTTAAACCTAACCCACACTCCACATATGACGTCACATGTGTTAGACAGTATCCCATATACTCCACGAATAATAATAATAATAATAATAATAAAAACTTTATTTAATAAGGCAACATAATTAGTTTGCAAGAAAAACTAATCTTCCATAGGTCCCTCCTAAGCTACAAAAAGACATATATACATGTAATATCAGGATAAATTCAAAATCATTTGAAATGCAATAACATTTTAAAGTGGCAAGTTTGAGAAGTAACTCCCAAACTACAAAACATATACATTATACTAGTAGAATATAGGAAGAACACTATAATGACACACAAAATAAGATAGAATGCAGTTGCAACTTACAAATAATAAGTATGTCATCAGTTGAATATTATGGTTTCTTCAGTGCTCAATATAAATGAGTTTTAAGTTTTTAATCTTAATATTTTCAACATTTTTACATAGGTTTATATTATAGAATTGTACCTAATAACCTAAGATGTTGTCTTGTCGAATTCCTCTCTCTCTCTCTCTCTCTCTCTCTCTCTCTCTGTACTTAATGACCTAGCAGGTCTAATATTCCCATAAAAGATAATATCAGATACTGGTTTCCTGTATTACATGTTAACAAAATATATCATAGCCACATTTTAAATAAACTAGGGTTTAACGTCCCGTTGTTTTACGCCAACCAGACGAATGAAGGTGGATTATTTGGTTTTAACCTATTATAGACGAAATAAGTGAAACTCCTTGGTTAAGGTCAAATTCACACTCTAACCTTTAAAAGGGCGAAGTGCTGAATTGGGTTATTTCCATTTGTGATGGGGCAAGATCTATGTACACGATATTTATTTTTTGATTTTTTTTTTTGAGAGAGAGAGAGAGAGAGAGAGAGAGGGGGAGGGGGTTAGCGTCCACTCGACATAAGGGCATTTCGGAACTAACATAATATGGTTCAATTTTATTTTAATAATACGCAAGATAGACCACATTCATTAGCCTGGCTGGTACAAAATCTAGGTCATTTCGAGACTAACATATGGTTCAATTTCTGTTTCAATATTTCGCTTGCGTGTTGGGGGTCTTTAACAGTGGGAGGAAACCGGAGGACCCGGAGAAATCTCAACAGGATGGACAAGCGACCCTGCTCCCTGTCAGTTGGTTTCGATCCCAGCTTTGTAAGTGACAACGAATTTTGGGGCCTTTTCCCCAGCTAAAGACCACAGTGCACAAGGCTATTATTGAAATCTAAAATAGTGTTAGTTTCAAGATTACCAGGTCTCTCTCTCTCTCTCTCTCTCTCTCTCTCTCCCTCCCTCTCTCTCTCTCCCCCTCTCTCTCTCTCTCTCTCTTAACCAGTTTCATTCTTCAGCGTGTGGGAGAATCGCTTGAATATTTTGAAAGCCAGCCAGTCTAATTTAATATTCTGTCGGTTAATTCATTGAACTCATCAAATTCAACATCCATGCAGCTTCAAACATATTATTCAACCATGGACCTTATAATACAACATTGTTTAACAGATGTCAATCAAACACTCCTCTAATAATCTTAGTACTCCTTCTTACAATTATATTCGACTGTAATATTACATTGCAATAATATTTTGGTGATTCAGTGAGTAAGACGCTGGCTCGCTAACGGGGTGGTGTCGGATTATCTCTAGATATTGTCCGAGACTTCCCCCCTACACGTTAACGAAATGAAATGAAATGGGGTTTAACGCCTTACTGTTCTGCCCCTAAACTGGGCTACTGAAGACGGGCATAAGCCATACAGATACAGTGTGCTATGAGGGAAATTTTGCCCGGGCAGCGGCGCTACGGCCTACTCTTATATCGAGGGATCTTTTACATGCACGCCAATGTGTACACGGGACCTCGGTTTTTCGTCCCATCCGAACGACTGACAGCTGTTCTTGTCCGGCCCTCCATCCTGCATCACTGACAAGGGGAAACCACGCCGGAAAATCTGGATGAACTTTCTCGGCCAATGCAGGGATCGAACACCCGACCTCCAGGCTAACGAGCCAGCGTCTTACCCACTTAGTCACGTGATCCCGAACCTTTGACAGTTGGAAATGGAGGTAAGAAAAAGCTGTAGTGCTCGTCTTCATTAGCCCGGTCAGTGTAGACAAGTAGGACGTTAAACCCCATTTCATTTTAATGATATTTTGGGACTTGTTGTTGTTCTTAGTGTTTAACGTCCGCTTCCATCGAAGGTGATATCGCAGAGTCTTATTTTTCATTTTCATTATCTCAGCGCACGCGCAATTGTCTTTCCTGCGGGAGGAAACCGGAGTACCCGGAGTAAATCCACTAGGTTGAGAAGGCACCCCCACGCCACATACGCTCACACCAGGGATCGAAACCACAACCGCAAGTCAGAGATGACCGGCCAGCTAGAGGTCGAATCGCGGCACTCTAGACCACCCTTCCCTCGCACCCAACCACGCACGCACGCACGCACGCACGCTGGAGAACCTGCTCTAAATATCCCCGTATAGCCTCTTGGTCCCGTGAATACGTTAAAGATCCCCTGACAGTTTGAAATCTAAATACGAGTGCGTGGGATTTAACCGAATGCTTTGAAAGCCTCAACGTGTCGTAGCGCGATCCGTGATGCCTGAATGTGTTATTTGACTTAGTTAATGGACATTGTTTGACACAGCGCCGATGTTTTGTAGTTCTGTTGAATACGTTTTATTTGTGTTATAAAGAAGTCACTCGCTTGAATGTGAAAAGTGAATTTAAAAGGGTAAATGAAACTTCTCGTCGCTAAAACAAACAAATTTGATAGACAAACATTTTTAGCAAGTCTTCACTCCGTGACCTGTCAAATGTACCCCCCCCCCCAACACCCCTGAACTTTAATCCATTCCTGGGTAGGTCAATGGTGGATATGGGCATAGTGAATTATATAATAGTTGGATTCACATACTAATTTACCATCGGTACAAATACCGTTTTCGAGTTCAGGTATAGTGAAGTCCTGGAAAGATCTTGACAGTTCATATTTGGCGCCTACTACGTATCCACCCCTTGTTGTAAATATTTATTAATGTATGGTCAATACAATGTTGGCACCTTTGATTCTTTCTTCTGCATGGAGAAAGTTCATAAGGATTTTCCGGCGTGGTTCCGCCTTGCCAGTGGCGTAGCACAGCAGCAGAGAACCGCGGTGGATGAGTGAGTAGAACGTTTGATCGCTAACCTGGAGTTCCCTTGTTCAATCCCTGCATTGGCCGAAAAAGTTCATCGGGATTTTATGGCGTGGTTTCCCCTTGTCAGTGGTGTGGGACAAAGGTTCTGGCAAGGGACAAGATATAGTCGTTCGGATGGGACGAAAAACCGAGGTCCCGTGTACACATTGGCGTGAACGTAAACCCTTGGCAGTTGGAATTTGATATAATAGGAGTGACGCTGACCAGGTAAAATTTCCGATCTTTTCAGGGGGACATTGCTCCCCCTTGCTACCCCCCACCCTCCCCGCCCAACTACAGGCCTGATGGCGTATGTCCGTCTTCATTAGCCCAGTCGGAGCAGAACAGTAGGACGTTACACCCCATTTCATTTCCTCTGCTGCCTAATAAACCCAATATAATTTTGACACCAAACCTGCCCTTGCGAATAACCCGGGGTTATTTTTAGCTCCCACGTGACATAATCAGTGACCATGTAACAGGTGTGAAGTATATTGTTTTCACCATCCGACATGTGTTGTGGATGGACTGGATAACCTGATCTAAATGACGCCAGACTGGTTCCCACGTCACCATCCGACCTGTTTCATGGATGGAATTAACCTGATTGTGTGGCCAGAATAAAAATAATCAATAAACCTCCGCTCTCTAACCTAATATATTCTACAATGCCGTGTATTATGCCGAATTTACTGAGTATAAATGGTTTGATCTACGAATTAAATTGACCACTTCCTGATATATTCAGAGATTTCACAGGGTCCACTGGAGGTACCCTCAGGGGGTGTGTTCGTCCCTGTCACCTCCCAGGGCTATTCTACACATTATTAGTGTTAAAATGGTACCGTAAAATGACCAACGTCACACGCTGAACAAATATTCTATTCATGCAAAAGATGTAAAAATACACCAAATTTCCCTGTAAATATATTCAATACTGGAAATGTATTTGAGATAAATTTTTTACCATAAAAATTTCATCAGTATATAACATGTTTGTTATCGTATATCGCCCACTGAAAGAACGGCGTGCGATGTGATTCTACAGCCCGCTACTAAACTATTCTATTATTGGCCATAGAAGAAATTCAGATCGATCAATCGGTTTTTCCGTACTCAATTCTAAGTGTAACAGAAGCAATCGCAGTACTTCGTGTCCTTCAGTCCATGCTGGCAATGTCATACCAGGGTAGTAAACATTAAATTGTTTATTGAAAATCTACACAGTACTCTATAAACATCGTGTGTGATCTTACAGGGAAAGTGTTCTGATGTTCTAGTGTTTAAACATCTGGCAAAATGTAGCAACATGGCCAGGTTATGTAAGTATAAACATCTATGTTGTGATTATATGGCGAGATGCCGATATTTCGTAAACACTTTTAGAATTCCTGTGTATTTCCCAGAACAGTAGGGGCATCTAGGGACGGAACTGTGTGTGGGGTGGGGTGGGGTGGGGGTGAGGGACATCAGTTGATTCATAGATCATAGGTGTGCCGCGTGCGTGGGTTTCACTCTGGCAAAAACATGAATTCACATGCGTAATACTCAATTATACTCATGTTATAAGTGTTATCTGACCATCAGAATTCTGCTAAATCTTCCCCCTAGCTCCTCCGCGGAGCATGCATACCGCCCTAAAAAGCTAAGCTCGTGGCTGCATCAGTCGGTCTCATGTTTGCTACCCCCCCCCCACCCCAAACAAAATAGATATGTACGCCCCTAGGTGCATTACTCCTCAAATTATTTTTTAATGAGGGGGTCCTGGGGTCGAGCCCGGTGTTGACGGTGATATTTCTGCGTATATTATCCTGTCAGTTGTGCACGATTGGGAGCGTTGGTAAACCTACAAACATTGAAAGTTGGAACTCAACAAAGAATGGGTGGTAAGGTCGCTGTTGGGGCACATAGCACAATACATGGCTGATGTGCATCTCATTAGCCCGGTTGACACAGGTCGTTAAATCTCATTTCATTTCATTTTGTCTGATTATGTTTCTAATAATGGGAGTTGGATGGCCGAATAGTTAGCACATGCGCGTTGTATCATAAGGTCTGTCATTGAGTCAACTGGCGTGGTTTCGAATCCCTAGTTGTACGTTACAAGGAGTAGCTAGGGTCGCCTGTCCAACCTCGGGGGGTTTCTCCGGGTCCTTCCGTTTCCTCCCACTTCTACAAACCCCTACGCGCAAGCGAATTATTGAAATAAAATTAAACCATATGTTAGTCCCGAAATTACCTAGTTTGTGTCGAGTGGACGTTAAACCCATCTCTCTCTCTCTCTCTCTCTCTCTCTCTCTGGCACTTTAGCGTTGAAGCCTTATTTACAGTATGCGACGGTCTTTTCGTTTGACTTAGCGACAGGGACTGAGGAAAGGGAACGCAGTGACGCGCCTTTTGTTATTGGTTTATCGTTCCTCTGAAATTGAAAAAAAATGCGTATTTTCCATTCGGGTTTCAAGGCTATCGTGTGTAATATAACCTTATATTACCCAACCAGTGTAAAACCGTAACTCAGCATGCTACAAATCAACACAAGCATGTCCCAAATTTAATTAGTTGACACAATGTAACACTGTATAATAAATAGATTACATCAAGCCGTGGTATAATAAATAGATTACATCAAGCCGTGGTATAATAAATATATTTCATACTGTAGTTAAATCAACAATTGCCAATCCACGAATCTTCTTTTTTAGGGGTGTACAATACTTATTTCCGGTTGATGTAAACATAATTAATTTTTTGTTTCCTATTATATAATTTACAACCAGGCTTGTACAGTCATCTGGCATGTTCGAGAGGCGTCTGTAAATTTACAATTTGGCAACTAAACGATAGAAGGAGGTGCTCGTGTCATAAAATATGGAGCGAAAACTACGACATAATTCCCCCTCTTTATAATGTGTATTATACTAATGTACGTGCAATCGAAATATGCAGATTTTTCCGTGATGCAGAACGGAGGACCTGACAAGGACAGCTGTCTAGTCCTTCGGATGAGACGAAAAACCGAGGTCCCGTGTATACATTGAAATGCACGTAAAAGATCCCTTGGCAGTTGGAATTCGATATAAGAGTAGACGATAGTGCCGCTGCCCGGGCAAAATTTCCCTCATAGCACACTGTGTGGCGTATGCCCGTCTTCATTAGCCCAGTATAGGAGCAGAACAGTAGGACGTTAAATCCCATTTCATTTCAGTTAAAGCGAGATCAAGCCGGCTATTGAAGATGGGGAAGACAACTCCTGACGTTGTTAATGATGGAATAAGACTACTAATTCTCCCTAACAATTGACTTCCTTCAATGTTAAATCAATGTCATAACGTGGTTTTGAACATGATCTTGATTTTATAATGGCCCAGATGCCAGTTAGTTAGAGAATGGCATCATTATATGTCCGTAGTTGAATATTTTCTCGGCATATCTAGTAATTATAGGAAAATGTCGTAGAAGAGTTCTATAATTTATTTAAATGAAAGATATGTTTTTATTTCTATTTGTGTAAATAGTTGATTATTGAGAAGTGAAGATTCTGTGTAAGTCACAATAAAACACGACGTTCCTTTATTTCTCGTTTGTTGTCTTTATTTCCATATTGTATTAACCGAGGGTGGGGGGGCGAATGGTTAGCAGGTGCGCGCTGTATCATAAGGTCTGTCATTGAGTCAATTGGCGTGGATCGCGTGTCCAACCTCATGGGTTTTCTCCGGGGCCTCCGCCCCCCACTGCTAAAGACCCTACGCGCAAGCGAATTATTGAAATAAAACTGAACCATATGTTAGTCCCGAAATTTACAGTTCCAACTCGTATCTTGATCCGAATCTACGTCACGTGTCTTTAAGGTTATTACAATGACTATAATCTATTTCAGGCCGAGCTCGTATCTTGAAATAAAATGAAATGGGGTTTAATATCACTTTTTTCTGCGCAAATCCCCGTATCTTCAATGAAAAAAAAATGAAATGAAATAGGGTTTAACGTCCTACTCCCACTGGGCTATGAGGAGAAAATTTGCCCGGGCAGCGGCACTATGGCCTACTCTTATAACAAATTCCAACTGCCAAGGGATCTTTTACGCATTCGAACAACTAGGCAGCTGTCTTTGTAAGGTCCTCCGTCCAACGCCACTGACAAGGGAAAACCACGTCGAAAAATCCAGATGAACTTTCTCGGTCAATGCAGCGATCGAACACTCGACTTCCAGGCTAGTGAGCCAGCGTCTTACCCACTTAGCCCCATGGTCTCAATATCTTAAATGTGGTCTCAGCCATTATTAATTAGAAATGATTTATGACCTATAGTGTTTAATTTTTAACACTGGTCCTGACATGCTACTATATTATATTGACACGTCTTATTACCACATCTAACACGTCACATCTTTATACGTCTCATGATGGACACCTGTCACGTATCAATCAAAATCATCTTTGAACCCCCTGCACTTGGAACTCTTTATACACCCCTGGTGTGAGATAAAAGGCGTTTTGTTCAGACACGACCTTGTGTTTATCAACAACTGACGAATGGCCTCTCTCTCTCTGTCTCAGCAATCAATTTCATCGGTCAATCAAATTCTATTTTATCTCATATGACATTGGCCCACATTTTGGAAATGATATGACTGTTCTGCACCGACTGGGCTAATGAAGACAGGGGCGCACCATACAGTGTGCTTTGAGGGAATTTTGCCCGGAAAGCGTCACTACGCCTACTTTTAAATTGAATTCCAACTGTCAAGGGTTCTTTTACGTACACGGAGCTTGGTTTTTCGTCCCAACCGAACGACAATTTGTTGTCCTTAGGCAAGCCTTCCGTCCTGCACCACTGTTAAGGGGGAACCACACCTGAAAATCTCAGTGAACTCTCTCGGCATGCAAATGGTGTCTTTACGCCACGTCACGTCTTAAAATAAGATTTGAAAGTTCTAAGAGTTAATCAGGATTTTAGATTACCATACAAAATGACTTTATGGTGTTAAGTGAAATGAAATGGGGTTTAACGTCCTACTGTTCTGCTCCTAAACTGGACAAATGAAGACGGACATACGCCATACAGTGTGCTATGAGGGAAATTTTGCCTGGGCAGCAGCACTACAGCCTACTCTTATATCGAATTCAGACTGTCAAGGGATATTTTACGTGCACGCCAATGTGTACACGGGACCTCGGTTTGTCGTACCATCCGAACGACTAGACAGCTGTCCTTGTCAAGCCCTCCGTCTATGGTGTTAAGCCATATATTGATACCGTACTTGATGGTGTTAAACCGTATTTTGATACCATGTATTCAAGATTTACGATGTATCCTAGTTTAATAATATTAAATGAATATCGCTTGACTCAAAACGATGTACGAAACTATGACTCGAAAACTAAATGATACTGTTTCTTCGTTCACAATGTGAAAACGATAACCCATGTATTTTTTATCAGGAATCAGACGGGTTATTCTCTCGCCATAGACTGTCATGTTAAATCCATACCATTTGGTCGCTTGGCCTGTGGCATATTTTAAACATTCCAATGATATTAATCTTTATAAACAACACGTCACAATTATCTGATACGGGGTTTTTGTTAATGACTACTATGTTCCCATCAAACTCTTTGTCAGGGGTCGGGTTGTGAATTCGCTTTATTGATATCGTCAGTACAATGTAAACAAAACAAATATCCACGGGCAGTATTTGGCCAGGTGAATAGAGTTTGTTTACTGATGGAATAAATGAATATTTTTGATAAGTTAGATAAAGTTTATCAGTAAAACATGGTGAACTTATTGTTTGTATCAAAACACACAAATCGACCAGTCTCTTAACAACTTTAGTCATCTCTACCGTCATCATTTGACAGAGTGGTTGCCACGTGCGTGCTGTATAATAAGGTCTGTCATTGAGTTAACTAGCATGGTTTCGATTCCCCGGTTGTACGTAATAAGGAGTAGGGTCGCCTGTCTAACCTCGTGGGTTTTCTCCGGGTCCTCTAGTTTCCTCCCACTTCTAAAGATGCCTACGCGCAAGCGAATTATGGAAATAAAATTAAACCAAAAGTTAGTCCCGAAATGACCTAGTTTGTGTCGAGTGGACGTTAAACCCCATTTCTCTATTTCTCTCTTTTGCCCACCACCCTCACACACATCGGCCCAATCTTCGTTGCCCTCGACAATGCAGTTCCCCATCACCACCACGTTGGGCCTGACAAGGAACAGTGTCTAGTCGTTTGAATGGGACGAAAAACTGAGTTCCCGTTTCCACCTGAAGATCAAAGATCGAAGTAAAGTGGAGGGGAATATAGCTGTCGGTGCAAAATTTCCC